CTCGAAGTCGGTGTCGACAATTGCGTAACACGCGCTCCCCTCCTTTTGCACTCGAGGAGTCGCCTCTCGTGGCGCGGAAGGTTTATCGATCAGATAGTTTTGAATTTGAATTCCCGTCCTCGTCGCTGGGGGCGCCACTGCACGGATGAGATGTTTTTTCCCCTTTTTTTCTTTCCTTCTCTCACTCTTTATTATTTTATTATATTATTATAGATATTATTTATAGATATATATTATAGTTTATTTTTATAGTTGAATTTAAGAGTTTTATTCTGTCTCCATTATTTTGATAAACTCAATATAGAAATTAGTATATATAGTTACAAGTACTTATCTTGTCGGTGACTTTGTATTAAATGTTCTAGATGTGTTTTGTATTTGACACACTACTTCAATAATGTGATATTGTTATATTTATATTACGACGTATAAACATCTTGAAGGAAAGTAGCGATACATTTCAAATAATTTGCGGGCAATTTGAAATCACGAGGTGAGCATTTTATCTTCTCTATCTATAATTTTATCAGATTTTTTATAATAGCGCGCGCACACAAAAATAAAAATATGGTATATTTGTTCTTTCATAAATTCTTATTTAATATATCATCGATGATTTTATCACGAGTGATTAAATTCAAAATCAAACATTTGTTAAATCCATTCTGCATTTATGTAATATGCATATATTTACAGATTTATTAATTTATTTAACTGGTATAAAACAGATACAATATAGTAAAAAGAGTATCTTCTATTAACATATTAATATTTACATATTTAATTTGATATTTACATTCTTTATAAAGCGTGCAAGGAGAGTTAGTTAACTACAAATTAGTTAACTACCACTCCCAAACCAATCTGAACCCATTGCACCAAAGAATGCGGCTGCGCCTGATTTTATTGTCGCACCCGTAGAATCATTTCTTGTGTTCTCTTTTGTTGTTACTTTCTTGCGCTGTAAATACATATTAATTTAAATAATTGTCATAAATATATATTAATTCAAAAACTCACTTATTGCACATTTTCACACAAATATATTAACATCATTCGCTAATTTGTAGAACATTCATTAAATTTTATTAGGAATCAATGGAGTAAAATGTTATTCTAATTATATATTTTCTAGTCTTTTGATATAATGTGAGTTTTATATTAAAACATTTTAAAATAAAAAATACGTAATCTTTTGAAATCAACAACAAATATAAAAGAATAAATAAAATTAGAGTCGTATGTTAATTCAAAATTAATTAGTCGCGTTAATTCACGACATGCAAGATCGTCTTGCCACCTTACCAAATTTATATTCCCGATATCTTTATCTCATTTAAAGGACACACATACAATCTAGGGAAATAGGTATACATATTTGTAAAAACTTTTGAATAAGTGTGTTGTTTCACAAGTTTGGCAAAAAATTAATTACTATTAATTTTATGAATTGAGAGATGCAAGAATATTTAATAATATTCAATACATACCTGTGCTTTTTCCGGCATTGTTACTGATATAACTGGTAAATTTCTCGTAGGAGCAGTTACTGTTAACGGGGGGAACCATGGTGCTCCCGTACATACTGCAAGTATTGCAGGTGGTTCGTTTTTCCCACCATCACTACTTACGTGTTCATTGCGTGCACCCAAAATTGAATGTAATTGTTCTAAATGAGACACCAAATTGCCAAATATCAACTAAAAAATAGATAAAATAAATCTTAATATCACTGCATAAAAGTTCCATCTTCTTTGCATCAATGATATACTAACCAAAGATCTTTGGACGGATTTTTTGATATTAATATGAATAAATGGATTAAAAACATCATAGTCGAATGGATCTATTTTTGTAAGCACTGCATCGCAAGTTTTGCTTGATAATTCATTGAGAATTCTATTTTCACGCGGCACCATAAGCACAGTGCAATATTTTATATCATATAGTACTTGAAATGCTTGTTTCTGCCTGAGATCTATGTCTTTTAATGAGTTCAGATAATAATTAAATAATTCTGTAATTATTCTTTCTATAATTTGCTGCAGTACTCTCCTGAAATTAAAAAAAGAATAAGGTATATAATGTTGAATACAAATATCTTGATCCTGTTAGTGTTGCATCATGTACTTACTTTGGAAGTGTATGAGGTATAATTTTATTTAAATCTTTGCAGATAACTGTTAAAAATTTCTGCAAAGGTATCGATGGTTGATACGGTACAAAAATTTCAGATTTGATCTGCTTTCCTTCCCCAGCTTCTTCTTCAATAGTAACTTTCTCCCACTCTGAGACAATCCACTGAACGCGCAATCCATCAATTGGTTCTCTTAATATATATTTTTTCATATATTCAGGTATTTTAGTTTTATATATGTCAGCCCAAATAGACCACATGCAAGTACTTTCTTCCTTCAAATTTTCACAAATAATTTGCCATTTAGCATTAGCAATGGTAAACCCAGATACTTTTGATGATGTAAAACACTTATTTAAATTCGGACACAAAGTAGTTAAGGCAAAGAGAAATCTTGCCAATACAACAGCGTTTATATCCCGTTGACCATGTTCGGGTTTTTCATTGACACAAGTGTCCTTTATAAAGTGCACAAGATTTTCAATGTTTTCAATGCTGATTATTTGCAAATGTTCTTGGACTTCATTGCGATCACAAAATGAATTTGCAATTGAAGATATATTCGCCGAAAGTAAATTATCTTTGAGCGTTATTATTCGTTCAGTCTCATATAAATAATGCTCAAGATCAGACAATAGCGTGTACAAATTTTCGTCCAATCTTTCGCATAATTTGATTACATTTGGAGAATATCCTTTAGCTTTCATCAATAAGGATCTTTTGTTATCTAATTCTCCATTTTTTGTTAGCTTTTGTGGAATGTCGGTAGGGGAATCTTTCCACACAAACCATCGTAAATCGTGTTCCGGAAATTCAAATTTATCATGCGCTACTTTTTCGAGTAATTCTATTATGCCGGATTTTAAATCGGCCAGCGCATCCGTCCATTTATCCGTTATAATACCTGTTGACAAGTTATAATTAATTATCTGTGTGAAATCTTTGCCTTTCATATATATATAGAGAGATGTGTAATTACATTTTACTCGTTTAGTTATGATAGGTTGGAAGAATTCCATCCAAAAACTTATTCTGGGTAACGAGAGTTCTTCCCATATGGAATTCCAATTTTCAGGTAGACTCACGCTGATAGCTTCTTCTCGAACATTATACAGGCCTTTGATAGAAATGATTAAATCTAATAATTTGGTGACTTCGAGATTAGAAAATTCATTGACCCAATCCAACCAAGACTTAACACTGTCTTGAAGGATTGATAAAGAAAAGTTGTTTGGAACATCCTGAACAAATGGTTTATGATTTTTGGTAACAGATGAAAGAAATTCCTCAAGTAAATCTTGATTTAAATCAAGTTGCGATAGCAAGCAATATGCTTCTTTATCTTTGATGTCTATTATAAATTGTAAGACTAAACCTGCTGGCGCATTATCTGCATCTGTAATTATATATAAAATATTTTAAAATAAAATTTTATGTGTTTACATATGATAAAACAGATTAATTAGATAAAATACTTACTTATAAAACATGAATAAATCAAGTAGACAGTTTGTATAAGTATCCTCATGCATAACTTCAACTTATTCTTGACACTATCATGACTCTCTTCTTTAATAATAGATTCAATCGCACGACTTCTTGTGGATATTAATTTTTCTAACAGATTCACAAATGAGGATTCATTTAAAAACACAAGAGACGCTAAACAATTTGCAGCATTCTGTATAAGAAAAATATCATTAATAAGTAATATTTAAATATTACAAATACTTTCTATAATTTGAATACTAACAATAATTGAAACATCTAATGACTGCAATTTTTTATTACATTCATTAGATATAATGTTCTTAAATTGAGTAATAACATCCCACTGCTTCGAAACAATTGGGTATTTATGTGCCAGTTCTGCACTGCCTACTTCAAACATTAAACTATAATTTATATGTTGTGCTATTATGTATAACTGTGTAGCAAGTAGCAAATTTTCATCTTCGATACTCGTCCAAATATATTGTGGAATATCCATTAAAATTTTGATTTGAATAATAATAGAATCCGAGACATGCCATCTCCTACAAGAAATTATAATCAAGATGTAGTATCGATATAAATTTGTTTCTCATATAAATAATGTAATATAATATCTTAGAAAGGACACCTTTCTAGCTTATCTTCAATTGGTTCTGTTTTAAATCCAATTAGGTATTTCTTTTGCAATTCCCTAAATTTATCCTCTATATTAGCGATTCTTGTAGTAACTTGTTCCGACGTTATTTTCATTCTACCAATTGTGTCAGCAGCCAATATTAGATCCCGATATCTTTCTCTGAAAATCATTAATACAAAATCGCTTTAATACACAAGGAAAACTTGACGTAATCTCTCAGTTTCAAAAGCCATATACTTTAATGTAAATTTTCAAATGACCGACTCAGACAGAAGTTGATACGCATTTTAATAAGATATATAATAAGTATATATTTTAGCTAATGATGTGAAAAATGAATTTTGTGATTTAAACGATAGATTGTTACACGAACAAGTCTTACCCGACTAATGTTCGTAATTCTATCTTCTTTCTATCACTTTCCAATTGAATCTTTTTCTGAATTTCCTCGATCTCTTTAATAGTATGTTCCTGGAATAACTTATTTATATCTAATTCCAAATAATTTGTCGTTGTCATGTTTTTGACAGCCTGTACTCTTGTTATTTTTATTTCTTCCTCGGAATTCGAAAGTATCCTACGTAGCCTAAATTACAAATTGGAGGTTGGACCGTCCAAGTGTCACGTAAAAATAATAATCGTCATGCGATAAAACAGGTCCAGTCACGTAACTGTCATCTGTTTTATCGACGTTCACTCAACAAATGTCCCTATTGTCTTCGTTGCACCTGCAATTGCACCTGCACATCTACGCATCTTTTTGGAATGCATTTCGAGGACGCTTGACAGGAGATTATCGTGATGTCACGGCGTCGAGCGGGGCCGATCGCGTCGACGATGACGTCCGGAGGACGGGACAATCTCGGACCGGATCTACGCAAGGGATAAGGATCACTAAACCGAACGTCGAATATTGCCGCGAGGACGAGGACGCACGCGCGAGAAGCAGGGACCGAGAGACGGTGGTGCACTATGGTATGCGCGGCGGTTCTTTATTGCGAGAGAAAAAAAAGGAAATAAGAGGGAAAAGAAAGAAGAACCTTGCGGTGGATTTGTTTCACGTCGCTACGCGAGTCTCGCGCGCCGCCGAAAGATCATGCTGTTTTTAGCGTCAGCGAAACGCTGATTGATCCGCGGCGAGTCTTCATCATCGTGCGCGTTCTCTACGTGGGCGGACAACTGTAGCGAGCACAGTGACCGTAAGCGATGAGATTTTTCATCGTCCGGTGACATTCTCCCTTGCAGGAGAGAAGAAGAGAGAGATAGAGAGAGAGAACGGGCAGGTGTGTCTTCGCATCGCCCCACCAGCTCCGCGTGAGTTCCTCGCGGTCTCCGGTTTCGTCGGCGAAACGCGCAAATGGGCGCCCAGAACTGAAAACAATCTGAATTCCCCGGGAGAGACCCGATGACTGTCGACAATACGGGTGGGTATCTCTGCCTTTTATTTCGGCGAACCAGTTTCTCGGGAGAGAAACGAAGGGTTTCTCGCAATCTTCTACGCGCGAGTTTCCGTCTCTCCCGATGGAGACACACCGCAAATGGCAAGGTCGGTTCGCGGTTTTTTTTTCTCAAATTAGTGTATTTGCGCAAGAACTCACGCCTCGTTGCCTATTTCAGTGGAGTACCGTGCGTGGAAAGCTCGAGTGTGTTTGATCAAGAATGTGGAGGCCTTAGATAAGGTTACATCCGAGATAAATTATCTAGGCTCGTGGCTCGACTCGAGAAATCCCTCGTTCTTTTTTTAGTCATATGTATGTGCATATTTTAAAAGGAACTGTTATACTATTATGTGGTGTATTACAATGCAAAGAGAATGTGCATATGATTCGTGATAATATGTAAATATGGTGTATGGACTGGGATATATGCAATTTTTTAAATATATAAAGAGTTATTTTTTATCATAAATGTGTGTGATGTGTATAGGATGATTTTATTACATACATATTTTGTGACTGCAGATTATCACAAGGCAAACAGAATGAGTACCTCTCTAGCATCACTTCAACCAAATAGCCAAAGCTTGGAAAGACAAAAACATGTCAGAACAACGACGGAAAGACTTTATAATAGTCTTACCAAGAAGAGGTATGCATTTCTATTTATATTAGTCATCGGTATTAGTCACGATAGCTGCTATTTGATCCTATGCGGTATATCGATGCTCTCTTATTTAGGTTGCAGTAGATTGGAATTTGATACAATTTTTAATTAATATTTTCAGAAAAGATCCAAAGCAAAGTGTTCAAAGAATGTGGATAAACTACGAAGACTGCAAAGATGACTTTTGGGCAGCTATAAGATCTAATTATGATTATATTATGGATACTAACTTAATTGACACTTGCAAGGTAAAGTATTTCAAAATTTTTTGCGCACGTATAGTATGAAATTGTAAATGTTGTAGAGTGTACAAAAAAATCTTGTTTCGATGTTTTAGGAAGCAAACGGTGAATTAACATGGGATGAAACGGATGTGTCGACACAGTCTTGGAATTTGAAGGAAGTCAGTAGCCAATTTTTAGAACTTTACTCATGGTTAAGAATTCTTCAAGAATTGGTCTATTCTAAGGAAGAGAATCTTTTGGACAAAAGCCTGCGTGCAGTATGTATCAGTTTTGTTATATATTCAAAATATATAATATTTTGTTTAATATAACTCTCTTTGAAAGTAAATACTTTTTTTAACTTTTTATTATAATTATAATTAATTTTATTTATTATAATTTATTATAATGTTATCTAATTAATTTTATAATAAATTTATAATATAAATGCGAAATAAACGGGTATTTTAACGGCACCTAACGGGCATAATGAATTTATAATAAATTGATATATAATTTAATGTATTTAATTATTATTTTTATCCAGGCTCATATGGAGGAGCTACAACGCAAGGCATACAGACGAAAATTATTTAATGAACAAGCGGAAAAATTAGTTTCTCGCGCCCCTGCTTTAAAAGACGAAGTGGCGTGGCGTGTAGATCACTTGAACGCAAAATGGGAATTAGTCGAACAAATTATGGCGCCCATAGACCGACCTGTATCTAGTCAACAAGATATATCAGCAGGTGACGATTTTTTTGCTTTTTGAAAATTATATACGTTTTCCAATTGACTTATTATTAATGTACATGCAATCAACTTTTATTAACAGATTTTGAACGTGAGGTAAAATGTCTTAGAAAATGGTTACGAGGAATGGAATCGCGTCTTCAACCTTTGAACTTCCACGTCAATTGGACTTTAGCCGAACTGGAAGAAAAAGCGATAGAGCACATGGTAAGTAACATTGTTTTCTATTATTTTATTTATATAAAGACGGTTTTTGTGTATATTTTGTGAAAAAATGAAAAGGTTTTCTTCCTCACATCTTGACAAATTTCATCATGTATATATATATATATTTACTGGCGATATGCTAAATGCCATTTTATCTCTTGCATTTTTTTACATTTTGTTGTACGTAAGATCTCTCTTATAAAAAAAGAATATTCCTATATAGAAGCATAAATAGTTCATAGTCCTCCGATATGTTTATTAACTTTAGATTTTATAAGTTATAATAATGAATATTAGCATAATAATATTTAAGCATTTTAATATATTATAAGGGATAAGAGAGTGAATTAATCAGTTTCTGAAGTTAATATAAGGGAGAGAACTACTGTGATTCTACAGAAGAAGGCAAATGTTTTTATAGCTTTCTTTATATAATATTTATGCGTGTGTGGTGGTGTGTTCTTGTCCTTTTCCTATTTTTAATAAGTAAACTGAATAGCATTATATGCTCTAGGCGGAAATAAGATATAAACTTGCGAATGAATCAGCTTCAGTGGAAGCGTCTGGTTAATTAACCGATTGAATTGTTAACGCCAAAACGGGATTGCTAGGAAGCAGCACGATTCGGTGGAATACGTGCTAAGAATAAAGCGCGAGCACGTGTGTATCAGCCTGAATTTATGCTACCTCGGCAACGACCGACCAACCCAACGCAACGTTTAGGAGGAACGGATGTGACGGTGTACGCAGCTGAGAGTGGGGGAGCGAACAGCAACAGCCGGCGCGCGGACCCACGTTTGTTGTTTTATTCCGAGCTCCGATCTTTGCCGAAGGCTCACGTTCGGACGCAAACGATGCGCTTCGTCGAGCGCTGGAGAGACCAGCTGCCTACTGCCGGCTGCACGAGTCGAGCAGAGTTCGCCGTTCCACGGTCGTCGCCGGTGGACGGGCACGTTACAGCGAGCACGTTGAGTCCAAGGTTCCCTTCCTCCTCCTCCTCTTCTTTTATTCTCCCTCTACGTTAAACTCTTCGTTTTCTTCGCGTCTATTTCTCTCTTTCTCTCTCTCTCTCACGCTCTTTCTTCCATTTATTGTCTCGTTCTCCACCTTTTTTTGTTGGAAAACATCGCTATATTTAAACGCAAACGGTACGCCGCGTCTCTTGTGTTCGATTTGTGACATCGTGACCATCCCTCATGTAACTTGGTGTAACATTAAGAAGGAAATACAGCGAGCATCGATATGTGCAACGTGTGACTTGGGCTTTTAACCGGCATCTCATAAGCGTCCTTTTCTAAAAGCAGCAGGGAAGGATTACAATCGTACCGGTGGGTCTTCTTTTCTCCCTTCGGGACCCTAACCAGCCTCCTCTCTTTATCTTTCTCTCTCTCTCTTCTCTATCCCTTCTCTTCTTTCTCTCTTCGTCTCCTACTCGTTTTCCCATCCGTCCGTCCGTCCGTCCTCTAACCGAGACATACCTCGGCAACGCTCGGAGCTCGGCGATTCTTCGCGCGGTCCATTCGGCGTGGTTTAACCGCCGCCGAACAACCGCCCTCGCGTGACCTCGCGCGGCGAAACGTGGCGAAGAAGTCATTCATGCGTCGTCGTGAGGAGCTTGGACGCAAGAAAGAAGTTGAGAGAAAAAACGCGCGTAGGCCGTCGATCCGTCTGGTCCTCGTCGCCGTTGGACTGTGTCGGTGCCGACTGTGAAAAAAAAGGAAAAGAAAGAGAAAAAGAAGACGCGCCTCGTCATCCAAGTTCGCAAGTGTTCGTAGTGGCGTTATTTCACCGTGCAGCGATGCTCGATCGCTTCTTCGGCTTCTCCTCTTCTTCGCCTACATCCCCGTTTTTAAGCTGACATACGACAGTGCGCTTTTTTCCCTCGACTTGGTGAACATGCATTTTGGTAAGATTTTATTAGAGAAACTTCTCGTTTCTTAATTTAATTGTAATCTTAGAAATCTTTCCATAGAGAGATCTCTCGCTCGAGCGATCGAACGACTCGACCGAACCCTGGTATTGTTCCGAGATTCGTGCGAGTATGTATATGTTATATAAAAGTTGGCGTGTGCAAGATAAAGGAATTTAGAACGTGAAAGTCGGCGTTCCGAGTTCCGATCCGGAGAGAGAGAGAAAGAGATAGAGGGAGAGAGAGACGCTATACATATTTCCTGCCTGATGCGCGGCTACTAACTTGTTGCATTCATCTCGATATCTCAGGGGGCATCCTCTCGTTAAACGAAATCGGACTCGCTCGTTAATCTCTTCAGAATTTCTATTCGAGATAACGTATCTATTCAAGCCAATTTCAACCGTGACTTCCCCGCGCGTGAAACGCGGCTGAGATTCATCCCGTGATATTTGTCCCGTTATTGTTACAACAAAGAGAACGTGAAACAATGAAGCAGTTACGGTGGATGCTGTCAACTAGCGTGTCTGAGCAATATGCATCCGCGATATGATCTCCCGCTTTGTTCCTGGGACGATTATACATCATTATCATGTATCGATTAGCGTGAAGGATATAAAAAAAGGGAAATTGTCATTCGGAAAAGAGGTACCTCGATCTCTCTTTTATTCGAGATATCTTTTTTTTATATAATTTTTTTAACCGCGTTATTAGCTACTCGTCGAAGCAGATAGCTGTTATCGTCCAGATAAGACGACGTAGAAAACGGGAAGCCGCACGGGTTTCGATCGATTACTCTCCTCGCGTATTTACCGTACCGTGATCGTATATAATACAACAACATGCACGATCCTTCATCCGCGTTCCCGATTCTGCTAACACTCCGAGCTCCGGTCCACATATTATTTTCCGTTGCATTTGGTCATCGACACTCCATCACATCCCATCGCATCACGGCGCGGACGCTCCGTTGAACGACATTCGTGGACGTTGAAGTCGGTCGTTCGAGGTCAAACGAGTTCACGCGGAATTGTCCGTATAAAGAGAAAGTAGATCCTTGCGGAATTTTTTATACGCGGTCGTGTCCGGTAATCGCTGCGGCTCGATTACCGCCTCGTTGATTATTCAATTCAGAAATTTAAATTTTAATTGGCCGTAATCAAATGATCTTTCGAGAAAAGGGTCTCCTCTCTCACCTTTTCGAAGAGAGAGAAAGACTTTCTACGCTTTCGTATACCTGCGCACAATACATTTGCACGCGTGTCGCATGTCAATGCGCTGCCAAATATATCTTATCTTTGCCGCATTTATTTACCCGGCGTACCCGTTCGTCTGGAAAGAGAAAGTCGAGGGAATATTATAGAGGTCCAAGTTTGGTCGTGCAGCTTTGCTTTTTCGGTTAATTAATATAATTGAAAATTTAAAGAAAGAGAGAAAGAGGATATGCTGGGAAAACGCGCGTAAAGCAAGTTAAACCGGACAGTAGCCACTTCGGCTTTTGAACTGGAGGTATTTTGGGAAGCGCGCGGTCGCTTTCGTCATCCGCGGAACTTCACGCTCGCGCGACATTAGAACGCGATTGCCCTCCTTCCGAAAGAAAAACGATCTCTCGCTAGGATAGCTATATAGGTATAGTATAGATTTTTCGCGGCCGAGCGACCGTGGCGAATTTTAAATAGATCGAGGCGAGAGAAAAGTCGCGGCGCGCGAGTCCAGAGTCTCTGTTTGTGTTCACCTTCTCCTATATTCCGTGTAGAATATCGCACCGTTAATTTTACGCATTAGCTCTCTCTAATTGATAGGCCGACCGACAACGGCTAGATGAACGATTGAAGTCGCCGCGATATCTCCCGCTGTCTAATAATATTTACATCGCGAATGAAATATCGTCGTACATTGTACGATATTTACATTGAAAGTATAATTTCCCATTACACGCGAGACTTTCATCTATCAAGTGATATTTTTATATAACAATTTAAATAAAACATCAGCTGTGAGAGTTGGAAGAGCTAGACGCAACAAACTCTCGAAATCTTTATTTAATTTCAACGTTTCGGTCCTTTGAACTGTTTCACTATTTTCACTATCGTTTCTTATATAGATACTACTTTTGGATACTGAAGACAAATATATATGGTTTTCAAATTATTCCATCGCGTCACAATTTGGAGAAATTTTCAATTAAAGTTCAGAAAGAGCTTTTTTCACGGACTTTGTTATTTTATAGATACAATATGTGACGTGCTTGATTGTAAAAAGTTATATTGCCATCTAAATAAAGCATATTGTTAAGACTTTCAACCCTCAAAAGGAATTTTTGATGTCGGTTATGGTCAATAAGATATCCATGATGGAGTACTGCAAAAGTTGTGACTTCAATAAATTTCAATTATGTTTATTTAATCTTCAAGGGTTTTTAAAAAAGGTCACTGAATACGAATCCAAAAGTGAACTCAATATGATCGATTTATATAAAAAAGTTCCATTTAGAATTTGATAATTTTGACATTGAATTCGTATTTAATGACCTAAAAAATCTATTTACCTAGCAACATACTTCATTTTGATTGCAACAAAACTTCTCCAGCACGTCACATATTGTAGTTATAATATGACGAAGTTTGTGAAAATAGTCCTTTTTTGCAACTTTAAGTAATTTCTCAAAATTGTGATGTGATGAAGCAGTTTGGAAACCGGATCCGTATATATGCAGCGCCCAAAAAAAGAAACTGTAAGAAACAACTAGTCTCGTGCTGGGGTTCGAAAGAAAGTTCTTTTTTGTTGAACAGTCTTTTCAACAGATCAATTGTGTATTTATATATCAGAGATCAAAGTTTTTTTCGCCTTATTATTAACATTTTTACGATAGATAAATATATTTGTTTTTGCCAGCACACTTTTGACGAGATCTCAGATGCCGTCCAATTTCCTAACATAATTCTGCCTATGTAATGTTTCCTAACGACGCGTTATAAAAAAAATCGTCCAATTTCGAGCTGCTTGTTATCTTCTTGCAACGACGCGTCGTAAAAATGGTTAACGTTTAAGATAAGCAATTCGCGGATAAAAATAATGTCAATTTAATTCA